ATTTATGGTGAAATCGTGACGAAATTTTATTTCCAACCAATGGAGATTCCCCCATCAGAAATTTTAGTTAGGGAGAAATTTACAGAAATAAATAAGACGATATAATTTTTAATAATTTGAAATTAGAAATGATTTGGAACAAGTTGATATATAATTTAGAAGATAGAATGGATTTAGAAAGATAATGCAATTACTTGGACTCGTCCTGATCCTCGTCGTCGTCCTCGGAGTCAAAGAAGGCGTCGTCGTCCTCCGTGTCGACCGAAGTTTCCGTTCTCATTCGTCGGTTCTGCTGAACCACCCGGGATTTCGGGATTACGATGTCCCTGGAAAAGAAAACCACCAAGTAGAAGCGATCCGTGTTTGATCTGGCTTCCGGCCGCGCCTTCCACTCTGCCAATTTTTAAGGTCAATGTGCTTTCCCGCGAAATTTTACCATAGGAAACCCCCCAACCGCGAATTACCTTCAAATTCAGAACCGAAATCAGCATAATCGCGGTACTCTAACTCGCGATTATTCCATAATCGCGGAAAGCTTTCGAAATTATCGCGCTTCGATACTCTTCGATGCACTTTAAAATTATTCCACGATTAAAAAATCACAGAATACGCCAAAAAATAATCAACAATTTTTATTTAATAATTCAAAGAATAAAAATCGAAAGTTTCGAAATTACTATAGCATTTCATTTTAGAATTCGTTATTTTAGAATTTGTTATTTTAAAATTCGGTTATTTTAGAATTCGTTATTTTAGAATTAGTTATTTTAGAATTCGTTATTTTAGAATTCGTTATTTTAGAATTCGTTATTTTAAAATTCGTCCACGATTATAAATCACGAAATACCCGCAAAACACCAAAAATCTTATTTTTAAAAAAGAAAATCCCAAATTTCGAAATTCTTTCGGTATTTCGATATTCTTCGATTTATTTTAGAAATTTCTTTATTTAGAAATTTGAAAACACTTCCAAGTGAAAAACCAACGAAAGATCTTATCCCAAGAAAAAGGGGAATCATCGAATTAATTAATTCGAGTGAGATAAAAAATGGTAGAAAAATGGAAAGGGAGGGAGAAAAGGAAGGAATAAGAGGAATAAAAGGCAAGAGGTTTAATTTTGCATAGGGAACGTAATGGAGAAGGTTGAAGGGGCCGTTCTCGATTCAACGTGTCCTCGGAGCAAAAGAGGGTTGGCGAATTTTAAAAATTTAAGCAGATCCACCGTGTCAAGATGCCGGAGTCGCTTCCCGGGAATGGAATAAGTTAAAAGCGATTCCCCTGCTACGAAAATGGAACGCTTTCGAATATAATTTCTCGCCGGCGGAGAATGGAGTGGAAAAACGAAGGGGCGGGCGGGGGGGTCGGAGGGGGTGAGATTTCCTGCGAAGGCCGGCTGAAAATTTCTATCGCCGATAACAACGTTGAGTTTCCACTGTGCGAGAAAATTTCTACTCATAACATGTTTCGAAACCCGCGTTTACGCGAGTGCTCGTCGATTCGCTCGCCCCCTTTTGTCCGGAGCATAATGTCCGCCGGGGAGTGTAACACTATTCGTAGTAAAGAAAAGAATACAAAAATAAAATAGAAAAATAGAAAAAGGAAAATCAGAATTGCATCTGCTGAAATTTAATCTTCCTACGCAGGGTTGAAGGGTTGAAAGCGTTGGGGGTTGCAACGATGTTATTTAAGCACTGAAAATTATTCTTCAGTGTTTTTCGACCATTCTATGGCGCGCCATACTCGAATAACGAATTCGGAGGTTACGAGGAAGGGTTTTTAATTGTAATGTAACGAGATGGGAAATTGTTTCGAGATTTATTCGTGGCTTTTTGAAATGGTAATACAATAACTGGTGGATAATTCGGGAATAATTTTGAGACGAGTTTCGGGGTTGAAATAATTTTTGCAAGGGTGTGCCTGGAGATATAAGAATATTTAAATTGGTAATAACCATGAGTCGCGAATTGGAATAACAAATAAGCAAATTTTATTACGACACCCGTCGATATTCGGTGCACGTGTAAAGTTAGTTTCGTGATACATCTGGTTTTGAGCGTGGCGTTGGAAATCGAGGTAGGGTGTGTATGAAGAGGATTAGTTTTAGGATAAGACATCTGCAAAATCGAGGTAAGATATTTATGGAGAGGTGTTCTAACCAGGAGAGTGCAAGTCCTCCGGGTCATAGATTTAGTTGACACTTCGTAGGTTTGTAGATTTAATCATCCAGTTCAAGAAAATACCATTTACTATGATTACTATGATATAATGGTACAAGAAAGTACCATTGTAAACTACTCAATAGTTTTTGAGATATTTATGATTAAAGTTTTATTAATCTTAACTAGAGATTTCTTCGGAATAGTTATCGATAGTTATCAAGACGCATTGTAGCCTAACAGGAAATATATATATAATAACAATAATAATAATAAATTATTATTTAATTTAATTAATATAAATTGTTATTATTTAA